TCTGTTCCCTATCAAGACAGTATTTATTTGTAGGTTGTACATAATCCATGGGTCTCGCCTGGGTGTGAGACGGCAAAGAGCTTGGAGGCGCCCCCATGGCAACTGGCTGTTCCTTCCCACTTTTATCTGTGGTACTGTAAAAGAACTGACATCTTGGAGGGGAGGGAACAAAAGCAACTCTTCCCTCTGCCTCTCAACTCAAGAGTGCAGAGCTGACCCCAACCAGGGAAGGAGAGTTGCAAGGATGTCCAACGGCAAAGTTACTGTTTCCTTAGCTCCCTTTCTCCATTATAGTCTTAGCACAGTGGGGCACAATGCTCTCTGGATCCAGAGTGGTGGGGCAGAGGCCTTTAAGGCTGGCCCATCCTCAGCAAATTTGAGATGTTGCTGTTGCTATCACTGAAATCATTCCTTTTCCATTTTTTTAAGGCAGCTGTCAGGCACCAAGCATTCCCCCCGTTCTACTCCCCTTGCCAGTACACACCCAGAGGTGTATATAAGCCCCTGCCACACCTACAAAGCACTTTCTTGCCCTTCTAGACATCTCTCTGCCTCAAAGCACATATTGATGGGAGACTCTCCAGGGAAACTTGCTATGGAGACTGCAGCTCTTAGGGGGCCTATGCTATTTGAGGAAGAAGGAAGTGCTCCATCAAGGATATCTATGCATGGCCCCGCGCAGTGCTCTTCCTGCTACTGAAAACAAGCCAATTCCACTAGGAGTTCAAAAATGACTTTCTGATTTGACAGTGCTTCAGCTGGTGTGCCTTCCCAGGATGAATGGGATTTGGCCTCTGAGGGCAGAGGCAGCTGATTTGGTTGAGTAGTTGACCATTGATGGACGCAAGGGCCACATCCAAATGAGTTATGCCAGGGAGATGTAATGTACATATGAACCAAAGCGACTCTCCTGTAGTGCATGCATCAGGCATTTCCAAGACCAAAGACAGCGTGGCAGTGGAAGTAGCAGAGAGGATAAAGCATCGGTGCATGGCCATCCGGATATCTGGCTTCTGCTCTGCTTACCCATGGAGGAATTGGTGCCTTGGTTTCCCAACTTAGTCATATACAGTAATGTATTCGTATCAGTTTTCCCATAGGGAGTCCAAAGCCTCAGTATGATACCACCATCCCATCCAGTAAAGCAATATAAACCAAGGAGAAGTGGAACAGGTGTTCTAGTAGTCACAGAAGAATTCTATAGCATCACTGTTACTGAGCTGGCCGCATGGCCAATGTAAGAAAAAGGCAGGCTGGTGGAAGCATGAAAGGAAAAAGGAGATTCAGGGAGATCTGTTTGTCTTTCTCTTAATTATAATATGAGTTTATGAAAAACAGGCTAAGGATTAATAAGCAACCATTGCATGGAATCATTGCCTGCCCACTACCTTACTGTTCTCTCTTGTCTTCAGCAATGAAGCCAACTTTTCTTGATTCTCAATCTTCTTTTAAATTATAGTAATTAAGGAAAGAGTGCCAGGGAACGTGAGCGGATTGCCTGTTTCTCACCATCAAATAAACATGTTCAAAGAGGGAGGAGGGTTCCTGGGTGAAAAGGTGAATGTGCCAAGTTTAGGTTACATTTTAATAACTCTCTTGAATGTCTTCCCACTTTCCTCATTTTCCCCCTTGCTATAGTGTTTATTGAATGTCTGGATGTACTTGTCCCCTTGGAAAACAATTTGGTTCTCTCGGCTCTTGGACTCCTAGCTTCATTGGTGCAGGCGTGATTTTTATCTTCTATAACTCCATGGGGGAATGAAAGTAAAAGTAATCTACATGGCATCTACCTGCTGAGTTACAGCGTTCTGCATATCCTGAATTTCCAGTTGCAATGGTCTGTGCACTGATGCAAGGCAAACAAATGCTTTCTTATGGCTATGGATCTCATTAATATGGGGCTATTTACACAAAGCCGTGGGGACTACCATTACTGAGCATAGCCCATATAGAAAAATACCTTGCACAGAGCTATCACATTACCCTAAATGTGTAGCTGAAGTAAATTAGGATGATGGAAACTATGTTGTTTCTGCTTCTGTCTGCACAGCAGAGCTGAAGACTGCAGAAATCTGCAGTATATGTGATCTTTTTTTCCTCTGAGGCTGTATGCCACCTGCTGTTAACAAAAAGAGCTCATCTTTCATGTTTGGAAACACAGGACCTTCTTCATTCACCCTCCCTCTTAAAAGCAGGCCCCCTTCCTCTGCCAGTCTGAGTGATGTGAGTATACTTTCTCTTGTAAATAGCTGTAAATCAAAAATGTAACAAAAACCTGAGATATGGGGCATCTGAGCAGTAGCTCCTCATGATGAAGTCAGGCGCAAAGCCACATTGCGCTTGTAATGTGAGATTCCTGTGGATAGAGCAAGCTAATAAACACTGGCTTTGTTTTTGGAGACTCAAGACTCCTTCATCTTCAGTCCCACTCTTCGGCTGAGTTCTCTTTTGTCTCACTGGCCCAGATTTGGATTGCCAACTTTTCTACGGACTGCTCCCTCCAGAACAGCTTTTTAAATGAGATGGATATATGCTTGTTCCTGAAAGTTTATGACTCTTCTACTGCTAAAGAATATATAACAGTGTTGGTTTTCACCCATCTACCTCCACACTTGCCCACTCACGTGCTTTAATCTTTCTACCCCTTGCTATTGAATTTGCAAGTTCGCCAGCTGATTTTTTGTGACTCAAAGCCCAAACACATTACACTTTCTAATCAAGTACCATTAAGGGGTTGAACTGGCTATACCAACCTCCCCTTACAGTTGTATCAGATTACAACTATCATACCCTACACTGTCTGGAGACAAGGGAAGTTTACTTCTCTTCTGCAAGCAAGAAGTCCCCATCTAGACAGCATATCAGGAGGCTAGCGTAGCTTTCGCTGCAATATCATCCAAGGAGGCACTTTGTGTTAGTGTAGGGAAGCACTTAAAGATATGAGCCCACAGTTGCAGTTTGAAGTGGTTATACCTGAGCCAGAAAAGGCTGCATAGATCGGGGTTCTGTAGCACAATGGCTTTCTCTAATATATTTTTAAAGCAACCCAAATTGGGGGCCATTGTCCATCATGAAAAAGTGAATGTTGTCATTGAATTACATACCATAGTTTGCAAGTTTTGTTTTGTTTTGTTTTTTGGTCTGTCTACCTGCATTTCTTGGCTTCCCTGGATGACCTGGGGTTTTATGAGAGAGTGAAAACCTATCTGTTTTGATACGTGTAATTTTACAAACCTGTATCCTGCTCCTCTTTACTAGCCCAATTTCTAAACTCAAAAGCACCAAAGATCACACCATTCCCAACAGTAGCATTGCTTTCACCACCTGATCATGTGGGCCTTTTGTCCTTTTTCAGCTTGATAATGTCCTTTTTTTTTCCATTTCTTTTTTGAGAAGTAGCAAACAGAACTGTGCACACTATGCCAAGCACGATCACACCTCAAGTAACACGTCCAAGCAGTTCCACCCCATCTATAAATATGGCCACAAAAGTCATGACTGGCAATTTCTGTGCTCACTTACAAGGTTTATACCATTCCTTATTTTAAAATCCCCAGGTTGAAGTCTTCAACAGAACCTGAAATAACATAATTAAGCCCATCAAATTGTGGATTTCAAATTTTGATTTGAAAACCATGAACTGGTTCAGGTTTCATTAACCTGAGAGGGATACTAAGAAGCTAAAGTTGCCATTGTGTAGTAAACCTCGCAGTCCAGAGACTCAATACATTAGATGCTCCCTCAAAAACTAGAGGCTAGCTGAAGCCAAACACTTGTGTTTCAGTGGATGAAAACACAGACTGTGCTGAAGCTCCATTTCTTGTTTTAAGCCTCTTTGTGCAGAAATTCTAGTGATGATTATCTAACTTTTGATCATAAAGTCACCCAGCCACAGCTTGCTTTCCATTTATTTATAGAGCAACATATCCCCCCCACCTTTTTTTTTTTTTAATGGCACAAACAGGTAGGTGATTTTCTGTGGCTTCTGGTTGATGAGCAGTCTGGGAAGGGCAAATGTTGGGTTTCTTAGGCCTGGCCCTGGCCCTCCATGCCCTGTGGCCTAGAGACAAAGAGGTCTTGTTCTGTGGGCTTCATAAAAAGAGAGAGAACAGGAGCTTCTGCCTCTCCAGGGTGTGCTGAAACAGCTGGTTAAGCAAACACACCAGGAAAAAGAAACCAAGGTCATGGACTCATTTCCTGTCCTTTCCTGCCACTGGCTAAGTTGGGGAATTGGGTGGACCATCAGGGGACAGGTCTGCCACCCCCAAGGATATCACAGGCCTTTTCCTGCTAGCCCACAGTTTGCTCAGCTTTTGTGAAGCTTGAGGGGGATTTGTGTACCCACTAGTCTTTTCTCTGCTGAAATAGTTCACTGGGACAGATGGTCATGGGGGAAAGATGAGAGAAGCAGGCATGTTTCTCTGAAATACTTAAAGTGCCTGAATAGTCCTTGTTTCTTGAAATGCTGAGGAAGAGGCAGCTTTACAGGTTCTGTCAGCTGGTGAAACTTCACGACAAACTCAGAACTGATATTAGTGGAAAGGCCAGACTGAAAGTTAAGTCTGACAGTTTTCTGTAGAGCCTTCAGGCTCCATGCTTCCATGTATTTGCATTGTTGTTGAAAAGATTTATTTTAAGACGAGATGTCTGTGGGAAGTCTTTTGGGAGCCACCATAAATGAGAACATTTACATGGTCAGAAAAGAAATACAGC